CCAAAAATATCAAGATAGTGTAAGGAGCTTCTGGGACAACTTCAAGCGTACCAACATCCGAATTATGGGGGTGTCAGAAGAAGAGAGAGAGCAAGATATTGAAAACCTATATGAAGAAATAATGACAGAAAACTTCCCCTATCTGGTGAAAGAAATAGACTTACAAGTCCAGGAAGTGCAGAGAACCCCAAACAAAAGGAATCCAAAGAGGACCACACCAAGACACATCATAATTAAAATGCCAAGGGCAAAAGACAAAGAGAAAATCTTAAAAGCAGCAAGAGAAAAAAAGTCAGTTACCTACAAGGGAGTACCCATACGATTGTCAGCTGATTTCTCAACAGAAACTATGCAGGCCAGAAGGGGAGTGGCAAGAAATATTCAAAGTGATGAATAGCAAGAACCTACAACCAAGATTACTTTATCCAGCAAAGCTATCATTCAGAATTAAAGGTCAGATAAAGAGCTTCACAGGTAAGAAAAAGCTAAAGGAGTTCATCACCACCAAACCAGTATTATATGAAATACTGAAAGGTATCCTTTAAGAAGAGGAAGAAGAAAAAGGTAAAGATAAAAATTATGAACAACAAATACATATCTATCAACAAGTGAATCTAAAAATCAAGTGAATAAAAAATCTGATAGAGTAAACTGGTGAATATAATAGAATCAAGGGCATAGAAAGGGAGTGGACTGACAATTCTCCGGGGGGAAAGGGGTGTGGGGGGTGTGGGAAGAGACTGGACAAAAATCGTACACCTATGGATGAGGACAGTGGGGGGGTAAGGGCAGAGGGTGGGGTGGGAACTGGGTGGAGGAGGAGCTATGGGGGGGAAAAAGAGGAACAACTGTAATAATCTGAACAATAAAGATTTATTTTTTAAAAAAAATAGAACAAGAAATCATCAGATTTATATCGAAGCACAAAAGACCCAGAATAGCAAAAGCAATCCTGAAAAAAAGAAGAAAAGAACAAGGCTGGAGGTATCATGCTACCTGACTTCAAAATATACGACAAAGCTATGATAACCAAAACAGCATGGTATTGGCAGATAAACAGACACACAGACGAATGAAAGAATAGAGAGCCCATCTATAAAACCAAACATATATGGACAGATAATTTTTGACAAAGGGGCCAGAAATGTACATTGGAGTAAAGATAGTCTCTTCAATAAATGGTGCTGGGAAAACTGGAAAGCCACATGCAAATGAATGAAACTGGATTGCAATTTGTCCCCATGTTCAGAAATTAATTCAAAATGGATCAAAGACTTAGACATAAGACCCGAAACTATAGGTCACATAGAAAAAAATATAGGTACCAAACTTATGGACCTGGGTGGCAGAGAACATTTTATGGAGTTGACCCCAAAGGCAAGGGAGGTAAAGGCAAAAATAAATGAATGGGACTATATCAAACTGAAGAGCTTCTGCACAGCAAAAGAAACGGACAACAAAACAAACAGACAGCCAACCAGATGGATGATGATATTTGTAAACAGTAGCTCTGACAAAGGTTTAATTTCCAAAATATATAAAGAACACATAAAATTCAACACCAAAGAAATAAACAACCCAATCAAAAAGTGGGCAGAGGACCTGAAAATACACCTCTCCCAAGAAGACATACAAACAGCCAATAGATATATGAAAAGATGTTCAACCTCACTGGCAATCAGGGAAATGCAAATTAAAGCTACAATGAGATATCACCTTACACCAGTTAGAGTGGCCTTTATCAACAAGACAAGCAACAACAAGTATTGGAGAGGTTGTGGAAAAAAGGGAACCCTCATTCACTGCTGGTGGGAATATAGACTGGTACAACCACTATGGAAAGCAGTCTGGCGATTCCTCAAAAAATTAAAAATAGAGCTACCATATGACCCAACAATCCTACTCCTAGGTATATACCTGAAAAACTCGAAATCATTTATACGCAAAGATATATGCACCCCTATGTTCATTGCAGCATTATTCACAGTGGCCAAGAGTTGGAAACAGCCAAAGAGCCCTATGATAGAGGATCAGATAAAAAAGATATGGTATATATACACAATGGAGTACTACACGGCCATAAGAAATGATTAAACAGCATCATTTACAACAACATGGATGGACCTAGAGAACATTATGCGAAGTGAAATAAGTCAAACAGAGAAAGCTAAGAATTGTGTGAGTTGACTCATATGTGGAATTTAAAACAGAAACTTATGTACACAAACAGCAGTGTCGTGGTTGCCAGAGGGAGGCGGGTGGGGGAAGAAAGGGGTCCTAATATGAGGTGACAGGAGAAGATTTGACTTTGGGTGGTGAGCACATGGTCCTATATACAGATTTTGTAAATTAGTAATCCACACACATAACCTATAAAATTTAAAATAATGGAAAAGAATAAAATAAAATCCTATATAGTAAAAGAGTAACATGCAAATCGATTGAACGGTGGAATGACTGGTCAGCAGGAGACGGGGCCAGTGAGCAGGCGGTGCCAAGCCAGCAAAGGCGCATGCCAACAGGCAGAGGGAGGGTACAGCAATGGGGGGGTGGCAACAGTGAACAGCGGTGGCGCAGAGGCAATCAGGGGGATAGGGCCGGCCGTTCACTGGCTGGCGCCATTCCCTGATCAGCCCTCCCGGTGGCCTCCCCGCAGAGGGAGGGCAGACTGTGGCTTAGGCCCGCTCCCGGTCAGTGGTACATCCCTTGAAGGCTCCCGGACCGTAAGAGGGTGCAGGCCAGGCTGAGGGATCCTCCTGAGTGCATGAATTTTCATGCACCGGGCCTCTAGTAAAATCAATTTTTAAAATGTAAACAATAGTGCACCTCATAGGAAAGCCAAATTCTGGGCAATAACTTAAGAAAGATGCAATTCATAGTGTGAAAAATGTATGAGTTTTAACAATCTTACTCACTGTAGCCTTCTATATATATAAAAGGCTAATATGCTAAGTGTCTGACCATCCGACCAGTCGCTATGACATGCACTGACCACCTGGGGGCAGACACTCAATGCAGGAGCTGCCATAACACGCATTGGCCATTTACAAAGCAATGGCACTGTGGACATGGTGCCCACAAAGCAACACTCGGCTTGCCCCAAGTGGGACACAGGCCCCACCACCACCCCAGAGCGACAGCCCACCAAATCACAGCCAACACTGGTGAGACACCATGGTGCAAAATTTGGCCCACAACCCAGCCCAGCCCAGCCCAGAAACGGTCGCTGTGGGCACCGGGTAATGACATCATGTAGCAACGCCCGGCTTCCTCTCCCTAGCGACTAGCCTCCTTGGAGTTTCTTCAGCCCAGGAACATGACTTGCTTTATAGCCAGGTGGAAACATTTTACACTTTAACCAAATGTCTGTGAAGCATTTTCCCATGCCTCATCTCATTTGATCCTCACAGAAGTCCTGGAGTAAGTAAAGTAGATAGGAGATTTGGTGAAATCTTTTCTTTTCATTAGCAGGAAAACAGAGATTTAGAAAGTTTAGAAACTTGACCCAACTGAAAAGAAGAAATGGTTTTCTCACTGCGCAGAATATAGTCAAATACTGCTGCAGTTAAATATTTTACCCTTTGTTCTCCCTGAGTGATCTAGAATAATAATCTGCTTCATGTTGATATTTACTGTTGTGTTGCTGACAATTACCTGAAAGAGAAGTTGGGGTGCTTCACTGGGCTGGAAAAAGTTTAGCTAAATCAGAAAGCAGGTCTAATTAAGCAAGTTTATTCTATCCTAATATATAAAAACCCTGGGTCCGTCACGACTGGAGGCTCAACCAACCGGAAGTCAGTCCTGCCGTCAGCGCTGACTGCTTCCACTGCAGGCATGGTGCCCCAGCACTGACTGCTGAGGGGGCTGAAAATCAGGGCCAGAGAGAGGCCTGAAGAGAGAAGTAGAGACTGATTTGTTGCCTCTGTGGCAGCTTTTGATCAGCACTTGCTTCTCTCTTTCTCTCCCAGTCTGGCCAGCAGCTGCGCCTCCATTTCTCTCCAGGCCTCCACCGGGGCTGCTGATCAGCCCCGCCTTTCTGGTCAGGCCCTGTTGATAGGCCCAGAGATGCTGACTGGCATAGGAACCAACCAATCAGAACCAAATGTGGGTGCTGTGGGGAGCCAATGACTGCCTAGCAGGCGGAGCTTCTGACGCTGACTGGCATAGAAACTGACCAAACAGAACCAAATCTGGGTGCTATGGGGAGTCAATGGCTGCCTAGGAGGCAGAGCTTTTGATGTTGACTGGCATAGAAACCAACCAATCAGAACCAAATTGTCCAGCAGAGGAGGGCAGTTGGGGTGAGATCAGGCCTGCAGGGGAGGGCAGTTGGGGGAGAGATCAGGCTGGCAGGAGAGGGCAGTTGTGGTTGAGATCAGGCCAGCAGGGGAGGGCAGTTAGGGGCAATCAGGCAGGCAGGCAGAGGCAGTTAGGAACCAGCGGTCCTAGATTGCAAGAGGGATGTCCGACTGCTGGTTTAGGCCCGATCCCCCCAAGGGGTCCCCAATTGGAGAGGGTGCAGGCTGGGCTGAGGGAATTCACCCTCCATGCACAAATTTCATGCATTGGGCCTTTAGTATATATATAAATGAAAAATATATATATATGGCTAAGTTGACTTGCACATGCGCGATACATATAAAGTTCTCACTGGCACCAATCTCACGTGTGTGTTTCGATCTGTCATTGTAGATTGTGAATTTGGTTGACACTTCTATTATAGAGAAAGGGCAAATAACAATATTAAAATATTTCTTTTAATTAATTTCCTTTCAGTGTGCATGGATCTGAGTGCTGGGCCACTAGTATTTAAAAGAAAAGAAAACTGAGGCAAAAGGCAGCAATATTTTAGGAACATCAAATGGGGCTGAAAATTCTGCCAAAATTATAGCTCTGAGTCTTAGACAGCCAGGTAAACTTTTTCAGCAGACCATGACCTCTCCAGAAGCAGGTGTGTCCAAGGGTTTGACTTACAAAACAAAAGGACATTATACCTTCCTCAAAGCTCCACTTCATAGCCCTCACTCAGAGCTTGAAGAATTGTCTTAGTGCTATGAATGACATGAATGTAATAAACTGTAAAAAAAAAAAAGAGAGAGAGAGAGAGAGAGAGCAAGCTGGTTTGGCTCAGTGGATAGAGCGTCGGCCTGCGGACTGAAAGGTCCCAGGTTCAATTCCAGTCAAGGGCATGTACCTTGGTTGCGGGCACATCCCCAGTGGGGGATGTTCAGGAGGCGGCTGATCGGTGTTTCTCTCTCATCGATGTTTCTGACTCTATCTCTCTCCCCTTCCTCTCTGTAAAAAAATCAATAAAATATATTTTAAGAGAGAGAGAGAGAGAGAGAGAGAGAGAGAGAGAGAGAGAGAAAGAGAGGCATGACTTTGGATCCTTTCAGGTAAAATCAATGAGAAAATATTAATATAATAAATACAACCACATCTAAATGAACTAGACCGTAAACAAAGCCCCTGAGAGAGAGCTTTATACTTTTTTAATGTGTTTTCATTGATTTTTAGAAAGGGAGGGAGAGTGAGAGAGAGATAGAACTGTCAATAATGAGAGAGAAACATTGATCAGCTGCCTCCTGCACACTCCCTACTTGGGATCAAGCCTGCAATCTGTGCATGTGCCTTGACCAGGAATCAAACCAGTGACCTCCTGGTGCATGGGTCAACCCTCAACCACTGAGCCACACAAGCTGGGCCCTGAGAGAGCATTAGTATTTCATAGGAGGAGGGGGGAATTATGGTGTTCCTCACCGGGCCCAAATAAGGTTGTAGCACCTATTAGCTCCTAGATACCACCTCAGATGAAAGACCATGCAATAGAAAGGTGTTAAATTAACTTGAGGGTTGAGGTGGAGAAACCAGCAAACACTGCTGTGCTCTCAGCTGATATGTGATCTCCTCTGAAGGAAGTGAGGCTTAAGGAGTCTCTCACAGGCTGCTGCCAAGGTCAAACTTCCAAGGTTTACATATCCTACTTAAGAGACAAAAGAGTGACTTTTCCATATACATCCATACAACCATCTTTCAATATTTCTGCACATAAAATTTTAAAAATCAATGAGAGGTGACCCAAGAACTCTCATAACATTTTGTGCCTACTACATATTTATAGTTGACCTTTGAGTATGTGTACACATATGAATGTATTATTTTTCAACTAAGGATCCTAACCTGGGGAAAGAGCTTTATATGGGGAACTATAACTAAAAATTTTGTTGGAAACTAAGTGTAATTACCTGGTAAAGAAAACTCATTTATTAACTGAAGCAGATTCCTTGGCCTTTATGAAAACTGTTGTCCTATAAAGTAAAACCTTGTTCAAGTTGAGTCTTAAATAAAAGTCCAAGATTTATTCTCACACACATTTGAGAAGGTAATTCTTTTACAAGTTTAGTATAATCTAAGTAGGAAGGCATGGCTGAAAAGTATTGGAAGAAATTTATGGTATGTTTACTCTAAATTACTTTCCTTTTTTGACATGTCAGTACTGTTGTTGGTGTCTTCCTCACTAACTCATGGCCACCCAGAAAATTTGTTCAAAAGGGTTGTAATATTCCTAAAAGTCATATAATCATCTAGCCAGCCCTATGTGTGCCATTTCACTGGCATCTGGTTTTCAGGGAGCCTTTCACTAGAGTAATCCCACTGGTGAGGAACACACAGTTCATAAGAGAGAGACCACCCTCTACTTGTGTGGCAAGGAGGATCCCTCCAGGGCTATGTTACTAGTCACTTCCATTCCAGAATCAATCGATACAACTGGGCACAAAGGAAGTATTGATGACATTGATTTTTTAATAGACCTGTGACATGCCCCAGTCTCATATCCAATATGAGTTTAGAGGTACCTCTTTACAGACATTCAGTCAGGTATAGAGTTTAATGCCATATTTCAGTTAGTTATTAGCTTCCAGAAAAGCATATTAATCAGCTCTTTTAGTGCAAAGATCACGTGTGTATACTTCTTTGTATCCCTCCTAATGCCTTCCTTGCATAGTCAGTGTTAAACACCTGCTGTATATGATTCATTCCATTTTCTTCTTCCTAGCTTATCACTAAACAAGATGCTGCCTAAATCTGAAAATTCAATTTCTGCTCTCAGCTCTATATATTCAATGTAATGTGTGGAGTTTCCTTGATACAAACCAGAATAGGACTTTAGTCTTCTACGAGCTTACATCAGCCCAGTAAATTGTGCCAAATCTGCATTGCAGTTCCATGATCAATTTCACTTCATATTGAGATGCATTTCAGAAGCAAAGTCATATGCTTATAGCAGTTCTTGGAAGACTATGTCCATGGCCTCAGCCGTGTCTATAGAGTTTGAAGACTTTCCCAGATGTCAGAAAATTTATTCTGACAACAGCTTCTAAATTCCATGCTGCCTCCTTAATCATGGCTGCATAGGCTAGATTGACTAAGACTGGACCCATTGTGCAAGCCTATTTCTGCACATGAGTGATGAGGAGTGGGGTCAGACAGAACACCACCCACTGTGATATAGGCCACCATATCATCAGGGACTGGTTTACATATATTGCTGAAATTAAAGAAGAGCTGTGTTACCTGGTAACTGCCAAAGCCAGGGCTGCTAAGAGCCTAAGTGTTTTTTAAATATAGAAACCATAGAAACTATATATAAAATCTATGATTTTCCTATACTAGCATGAACAAATCTCTGCTCAACCAGGATATATGTAAAGGCATATTGTGATTCAGACACTGCCTTAGTAGTAGCAGTACATAACCAAGAAAGAGTTGCTGGCCACAGACAGATATCATAATGGTTTGTACAGTTTCTTCTCAAAGAAGGAGTGGTATCATGGACACAGTGGATATTTTGATAGAAGCTAATGGTTTTATATACAGGCAAGTTGGATTTAATTATTTCAGAATCCCAAACTCCTTAGGTTGGGGGATTATTGGTAGCTAAATTCAAGGGAGCTATTTGATGAAGCCAGAACTCCTGGGGTCCTAACTAGTTCAAAAAGGTAACTAGAGCAGCAAACAGCAGCTGGCTCTGGGTATGTCTCCACAAACTAGTTGAAAAACTAAAAATGTCAGTTCCTTAGTTATTTCTTTTTTCAACATGATTCCCCTAAACATATCAGGTTGGCAAATTTTTTCCTTTACCCAAAGAATTTTTTTTACTTGTTTTGATCAAATACTTGCTGCTGTTTCAGTGTCACCTAGCTACAGCTTCATTTCTAGAACAAGAAAGTTACATGTTCAATCCAACATCACCCCCTACTGTTTTGCCATTACAGACCAGGCAAAATGTGTTCAATCTTCTTAATCTTCTCCAATTGTGTTTTATTTTTCTTCAAAGCATCAAGTACCCTGCTCTTTTCCTCCTCTCTTGAGGAAGAATTACTTTCTCAAAAGCAAGAGATTACTATCCCATCCATCTTACTATAGGTACTCACGTAACCCTGTTGATTCCATCCGAGAAGCTGTGTTCACAGTATCTCCGAATAAGCAGTATCTGGGCATGGTGAGGCCCCTCACTCCATCAACAACTGGCCCTACAGAGGAGCAGGCAGTTGGGATTACAGTCAACAGGTATGCATTCAATGCTTCATAAAAGAATAAAGTTGCCACCAAATAGCTCTGGGAATCTGAAGGAAGTCTTATAATGAGTAATGAATTCTTTGACCTATGAGAAGTAAGTTTATATGATACAGACATGACTACCTTTCTGATTTATACCTTTGTTCCAAGCAACAGTTATACCCAAGATGCGTATATCTGTCAACAGGACAAATAAGCATCAAACCCAAACCAGACAGAATGGGCAGGGACTCAGGATCCAAACATATTTGTTACAAGGAAAAAATGGGACACTCTCTTGTGCCTTAGGATTGGAAGTAGGAATGCCATAGGGCTATATGTCTCAAACTGTCTATCAAGACAATTATTACTAAGACAGTTTTAAAATCCAAAAAGAAGTAGAGTTGACTTTCAATCTTTTGTATTACGAGCATGGAAGAGCAGTGTATATAGATAATCCACAAATATTTTCTATTTGTCCTTAGAATGTTTTTTGTTCTTATATTTTAATATGGCTGTGTTAGGTATTCATAGAGTGAACATTACTTGAAAAACCTCAACAACCATACTGAAAACCTAGTTCTAGGAGTAACTAGGAAGTTCTCCACCTTTACCTTTCTGACTTCCACTGTGTTTCTATTAAATTTGTTCAGCATTATCTTTTTATTGTTTCCTGAGTTAGAAAAAGTAATTAGTCTTTCTGCTTCAAAAATTCCTTTCTAAACTTTAATTTTTAAGAATAAAAATAATAATTACAAACCTATGTTTCTCATCTTAATTCATTTCTCAACCATTCAGAAGCATTCACTGAGCCCTGAGCTAGGCACCTAGGGGAATAAAAAAGAAATGTAACACATAGTCTCAGTTCTCCAAGAGATTATAGTCTAATTGAAGAGAAGAGACAACCAAACAGGAAGCAATTAACTAACAACCCAGAACAATGGTTGAGTCAAGATAAACGCTACAGGCAGAAGTGCTATACTAGTTTTGGGAGGGGGTAGTTATTAGGACCTGATTCTGTTAAGAAGGGTCCAGTGGAGAAAGCAGAATTTGATCTGAATTTTGGTGGGTGGGTAGGATTTAAGTAGGACAAAGGAACATGAATCAAAGGTTTGTGGTTGGGATGAAGCATGGAATTTTGGGAAGCTCAGAGGGAAAACAGTCTGTGTAGTTTGGGTGGCTAGGGAGAAACTGTAGACAAGGTTGGATATTAGTTTGTACAAGCTATAGGATGTTGAACTACTAGGTAACTTTGAGCAGGAATTATAGTATGAAAATGATTTTTCTTTTCTTTTTTTTTTCTCACCTCAGTATATAGAATGCATTGAAAGTAGAGAAAGTATAACCAAGGAAAACTGTTAAATGGCAGTTGCAGTAATCTAATTATAATGTTGTGAGTACTGGAAAGGAGGTGCTGATGGAGGAGGGGGAGGGCAGAGTTAATAAAAGAGAGACATTGTGAAAGGAGAACCAACAGACTTGTTGGCTGTCTGACTGACAACCATGAGGAAATTGGCATGAGCTTATGAACTTATGCTGGTTTGTGGGAAAAGATGACTTGAAGTTTTAGGTATGTTGAATTCAAAGTAATGGTGAATTATCCAAAAAAAGATGTGCTAAGGGGGTTTGGAAATGTGAAACTGAAGTACAAATGAGAGATGAGAGCTTTTTTTTAAAAGAAAAATCCTGAACACCTACAATGTGCTAAGCATTCAGGATACAAAAATGAGTAAGATATGGTTCCAACCATCAACGAGTGTATAGTCTAATGGAAGGACAGATAAACAAATGTAGATTATGCTGATGACTATGAGAAGGATGGGTAGAAAAAAGTAAGAGTGGAACCAAAAAAATGCAATAGCAGTGATCCAGGCAAGAGATGCTGGTGACCTAGCCTTGAGTAGTGAGAGTCAAGGAGATAAATATTCAAGAAATATTTAAAAGGTAAAATATTCAAGACTTAATAGTTTGTTGAATGGTGAAGGCCGGGGTGAGGAAGGAGTCGAGGATAATGACTCCCAAGACTAACTGGAATAACAAGATGATTGGTGATACCACCAATTGAAATAGAGAATAAAAACAGAAAGAAGAGGAAGTTCATGTGTGAAGAAAATAATTATGCTTTGAATGTGTTGAGGCTGAGGTCCGTGTAGAACATTCGGGTAGAAATGTCAGCTTCTTTCAAATTTGGTATGCAAGACTAAAGCTTAAGGAAGAAGACATGTGCTGAAGTTGTGCAGATGGAAGTCATCAGCATACAAGTGGCAGTTAAATAATAGACATGAATGAGATCACCCAGAAGAGTATATAAGGAATGGAAAACAGTGAATGAAGGACAGAACCCTGAGCAATATCAATATCTAAGGCAGTGGTTCTCAACCTTCCTAATGCCACGACCTTTTAATACAGTTCCTCATGTTGTGGTGACCCCCAACCATAAAATTATTTTTGTTGCTACTTCATAACTGTAATTTTGCTACTGTTATGAATCGTAATGTAAATATCTGATATGCTATATGTGTTTTCTGATGGTTGTGACCTACAGGTTGAGAACCGCTGATCTAAGGGAAAGATAGAGACAGAAGAGACTATCAGATAATGGTAGAAAATGAAAGGCAGGCTGCAGTGCGTTGAGAATGAATTAGAAGTTAGAATGGGCAAAGAACAAGGAGACCAAAACTCAGAGCTTTGCAGAAAATATGGGAGCAGCCACAGTTAGAGAGCAGGACTTACTAAGAGAGGTAGGAAACGAAATGGAGAAGAATCATTTGGCAAGGGAGAAGCATGTCAGAAAAGCCAATTGAGGGAAGATTTTTAGGGAGGATTTTTAAGAATATCGAATGCTACAGAGATAAGAGAATAGAACTGGGGATAGTGTTGAAGGCTGAAGCCAGATTACAAAGGAGCTAAAGAGGGAGTGGATAGTGATGAAATGGCATAGTGAGTATCAATCACTTTTAAGAAATATGATAGGAAAGTGATGAAAAGAATGGGGGAAGAAAAGGAGCCTAAAAGAGCAAAGCAATGATAAAGAGGAGGTAAGTGGAGATGGGAGCAAGAAAGACTACTAGGCCAGATATCTGTGACATCAAGTGAGATATCTGTCAAGATAACTGTGAATTTGTTAAAGTAGATGAGAAGGATAAAATGAAGGGGAGATCCTGAATATATTCAAACAAGTGGGGAGTAGGGTGGGAGACAAATACTTCAGGAGTTGAGATTTTAAATAATTAAGTGAATTATCCTAAATACAACATATACATGTCGATCTTGTATCATATAGTCAAACACTGAAATGTTGGTTTTAACAAGAAAGGTAGACTGAAAGGGTTTGGTATCTTGAACAAGGATGCTGACCACTGGGAAGAGAATAAATTTGAGTGGGCTTAAAAGAATTATGCAGCACTAAACAGCTGGATAATCCAGCTGCCAGTAATCAGTGAAAATATATCCTCTCCCTCCTTTTCTAGTTTTTCCTTGAGGCACATGGGATTGTCCTCTCTTGTTTTAGCTGGTCATTGTTACTTGAGTACAGGCCTATTTAAATCTAGACTGGCACCTCTGGCATGTGCCGCATCTTGAAAATACTCACAGATCTCAGGATATCGAGGGACATGCTTGCAATCTCAGCTGCATGCCTACTGCTATTCCTCTTTGGGAGGCCTGATGCCACCATGTAAGCATCACCAATCACCAATGGTCTCTACCTGGGAAATGGGGGAAAATAGATTTAGCAAGCAAATAACTTCTGGTGTGTGTGTGTGTGTGTGTGTGTGTGTGTGTGTGTGTGTGTGTTTTCACAGAGTTTAAGTGGTATGATGGGAACCAGGTGTACTTTTTGTAAAGTAAGAAGGAAAGGGAGATTGTCAGTGGTTCACAGGCCTGGCTGCACATTAGAATCACTTAAGAAACTTTACTAGACAGGAAAAAAGGAGACATATGTAAAACTTTAGACAAGAAATAAATTTTTTTAAAAAGAAACTTTATTAGAAAATACTGATGTCAGGTCCCACACAAATAAATTCTGAAATAAGTACAACTTTGCAGGCTTCTGGCTGGCCTTAGAGCACTATTAGGCTCCATACAATTCCTGGGAAAAGGAAAAGGGCAGATTTCTGAGACTGTCTGTGGGTGTCCATGGGGAAGCACCCTAGGAAAAGGTGCACATGGTACTCCTCAATCAAACATTTCCCTAGATAATTTCAGATAAATGAGCTAGGGCAGCCTTAATGCAAGTATAGGAAAAGGGAAACAAAGGAGGTGGAAGAGTTCATTCCTTTTGCTTTGCCTTGCTAATATGATAAAATTAGTTTTGCAGCCTCATTGGATATGAGAACTGGGTCTTTTACCACCAGCTACTTCCTCTTCTCATAGTGCTACCACTTAAGGGGTAGCGCTATTAAGCCTCAACTGCTTTGGAGGGGACAGTTAGAGCTGGAAACTTGTAAATAAAGGAAAATCTGTGCTCCTCATCTTCCCCACTGAAATGTGCTCACTTTTTTAAGTGACCAGTAAGTTGGAGCTTCTCAAGTAAATCCAAAAGATAAGTAAGCTGCAAGGACTTCTGTGAAATCTGCCAATCTGACTCTGCTAGTACAAGTTTGGATGCAGTTTAAATCTATGTTCTCCTAGAGAGCAATACTTATGACTGCAATGGTTAAGACCATAAAACTGTTAAGTCATGCTATCTTGGTTAGAATCCAAGATCTATCATTTATAAACTGTGGGCCTTGGGCAAGTCACTTAACCTCTCTGTGCTTCAGTATCCTTGTGTGTAAAATAGGGATTATGACAGTATCTACCTCATAGAGTTTTCTAAGAACTAAAAACTTAATACATATCAAAGCACTTAAAATCTTCCTGATGTATGATAAGTGCAAGATATCTCCTCCTCATCATAATTGGCATCATCACCAAACTGATAAGTCTTGAAACAAGCCTTAGGACTCAGTTCCAGAGAAAGTAATCAGTAGTAATCAGCCATAGGCCTCTCATCATGATTTTCTACATAGCCAATAAAAATGATCTTTTGCACTTATGAGACTTTGTACCTCAGCATGTTTCCAATCAGGGCCTCCCTTACCTGGTGGACTTTGAGAAAAGGATCTCTGCCCAAGCATGCCTGTCTGCACAGAGGGAGGCAATGGGTACCGTGCAAATGCTATATGGGAGAGGGAAACTCACTGGCTGGCCATTATCAGAGACTGGTGGTTGACCATTCAGCTTTGAGTCAGTCAACACAGGAGTTCCCAAGGATATGGATAAAAAGATTAGAAGGGCAGGGAGCATAGGCACTGCCTAGCCTTGGTGTGGGACTGCAGTGGGAAACTGTGGGTTGCATAAGTCAGCAAAAGGACAGAGAAAGGGAAGAGGAGGTATGGAAAAGGGTCTGGTTGAGATGAGGTAGTAGCAGGAGAGTTGAAATTGAAAACAAATCACGCACTTCGTAATTCTGCAGTAGTCTTCTCATTTCCATTTCAGATTATCAAGTGCAAGAGGAAGTGATTCCAATTTTACAGGGGCGGGGGAAAGAAAACACAAACAGGTTTGATGAATCACTGCTGGTTCAATATTTTTCCTTTGCACTGTTTATTTTTAATAAACTGGACTAAAAATCAGATTCCAATTTTGGATTCACATAGTCATGCTCTGTCCTGGGAAACAGCCAACTAACTCCCTACTGTAACCATAAAGTACCAAAATATCTAACAGCCTCATACCTTAGATCACCAACAATTGTCTGAACAATATCAGCTGGACTGATTAAACTGGTGACTGTGTTACTGCTCATGCTGAATCACCGTTTATTTTATTTTCAACGGAATTAGCTTTTGGTGATTTGTTTTTCTCTTCAGGCTGCTTGAATTCAACAAGTTGAGACAGGTAGTCTGATTCCATAGATTTTTCCTCCTTCATAGTCTCTATGTGTGCTTCTTGATTAATTTGCAGCTCCTGCTAATTGGCAGGTATGATGTCTATTTGTGAGTCCTATTTAGAGGGCTTTGCCTAGCCCTGAGGCTCTCTACCTGACCTGAAAGGGCCCTGTCTAATATGAGATAAACACACTACCCTGTGTGTGATTTAAGAGTTGGAACATTTCAGACTCCTGTGAAGGATCCAATGAATGGAGCTACTCACTCTCCAGCAATGCCTTGGTTCCTGGGACAGAGGAGTTGTCCAAAGTTTGGGATGCCTGTGGCATCTTTCTATACCAATAAGACAAGTATCCATGTTGCAGAGAACATGGAAACATCCATGCACAGCTATGAAAATTTTAGCAAGTTTCTGCCTAAAGACAAGATAACAAATAAAATCAAGTGTAAGGAAGAATCACACCAAAGTGAGTTTATGAAGTCATCTATTCTCTACTCATCTTCTGCAAACTTTGATAGGAAGAGTAGAAACTGAAAGGCTGGAGGGGTAGGGAAAGGTGGGAACAGGGGATTGCAACCTCACAATTAACCACTTCCCAGACCTCAGACCAATAGGTGGGCTTTTGGTTACCCTGTAGCAATCCCTAAGAGCCTCAGATTTAATAGCTCTTCAACATGAGTAATGCTAGAATTCTCTTCTGTATAAAACTTGTACCTAAAGGGGAAACCAACTTTTATCAGCATGTATTTCTACACAAACTTTACCAAGATGAACTCTGTAGCAGTTACCAACTACAGGCAAAACACCAATACTTCTATATCCCTTCAGTGCCTAGCATGATACTGCCCACACTATAGGTGGTCAGCCACTGAAGAGTAATAACACTTTTGGACCCAACCTCTTCTTAGTCCCAGTTCTAGAAAACAGCTCAAAAGAAATGTGAACAGCAATCTCTGGCTTTCATTTTCAATGAGATATCAGTGCAAAAAATTTTTAATTTACTATTTTAATTCCTAAATAACAACATTTAATAAAATAGCATCCTTTTATTTTGAAATATACATAGATGAGCCTTATATAAACATTTCTCTCTGGAATATATTTCAGTGCTATTAACTTACTTTGTAGACATCATGACTGCAAATGATGGCATCAAAGAGTATGTGCAGGTCATTGAGAAGATCCACCACCTCAATGGGCTCACTCATGGCTGAGATGGTGGTGAAGCACACCATGTCACTGAAGTACAAGGTGATCAAGTCAAAGCCCTCAGGTTCAACCGTGCAGCCCTTTTTGAGGGATTCAGCAACTGATCTGAAAAGCAGACACAGCTATTCCTCAGAGGAAAGATGCCTCCCACTATGTCACACACAGATCGGCTAGAACAGTGGTCGGCAAACTCATTAGTCAACAGAGCCAAATATCAACAGTACAACGATTGAAATTTCTTTTGAGAGCCAAATTTTTTAAACTTAAACTATATAGGTAGGTACATTGTTATTAACTTAATTAGGGTACTCCTAAGGCTTAGGAAGAGCCACACTCAAGGGGCCAAAGAGCCACATGTGGCTCGTGAGCCGCAGTTTGCCAACCAAGGTGCTAGAACACAAATTCTCCAAAAATCACTGTCAAGTAAATGATGAGGAAGAAAACATCACCTAGATGAAAACATTAATTCTTTCATTTATTCTACAAATATATATCAAGTGCTTACAATGTGCCAAGTATTGTGCTAGGCGCTGGAATACAGCACTGAATAGACAAACCTAGTCTGTGCCTTTGTGGAGTATTTTCGGCTTTCTATCCTTTTTCCTCAGCACCTCATGCCCTTAGGGAATGTTCTCAGGTGGTTGCCTTTGCAAGAGACGAGTTTACCCAATTACCTCCTAGAAGATCATGTTACAACAGAATAAGGTGCCTGATAAATTTTGGAAATTATAGTAACAGATAAGACTTTCAACTAAGGAATGAAAATCTCAGAAATACAACCCTACTACTTTCCTCTAGGAGTTCAAAGAACTGCTTCCTTTTAATTGATCAACTACAGGCAAAGTCATGAAATGACAGAAAAAACAAGGTACCAAAACTTAAATGACCAGCATGATGCACAGGTAGTGGAAAATTAGGAAGTGTGCTCTGCTCCCTTGATTTCCAATTCTTCTTTGATTTGAAGGTGTGACTCAAACCTACTGGGAGTAGAGAGGGTGCAGTAGAGAGAGAGACAGAGAGAGAGAGAGAGAGAGAGAGAGAGAGAGAGAGAGAGAGAGAGAGAGAGAAGTTAGTTGATGGTTTTTTTTCTATTTTTAATAGAACACATAGTTACAAGGATTCACAATCTTCAGGGTTCACACATATGGTGGTAGCATCTGTGTGAAGTTTTTCTGTTTTTCAATTTCCAGCTCTTCAGTCCATTCCTGGATCAGATCTTCCAAGTTGCTAGAATATAGTTCCAACATCCAAAGTATAGAATCAATGATATTGGTCTTTTTCTCTTTATTGAAAGTTTTGAACTGGAAGTAAAACTGGAGGAGCCAGGGAATTATTACTTCCCAAACTCAGTGATAATGGAACAGGACCCCTTATCAAAAACCCCTTCTTTTAAAATGCCAGGTTAGGGAGGTAAACCCAGGTAAAAGTAGCAAAAGTCACCACCCACCCTCATTGATACCCTGGTCCATTCACAGGGCTCATTTTCTTTGAGTAGTAGTTCCCCTACCATTCTGTTTCTTTCAAGTCTGAGCAAAAGTGTTCTGGGCAGGATCCTTCAGCTCTGAGATACAAACACATGAATAGTAGCCACTTCTAAGGCAACAGGATTTGTTCTTGAGCCCAGTCCAGTTGTGAGTGGTATAAGGGGAAAGAGAACAGAGAGTGCTGTTTTACCCTTCTGGATCATCAACCTACTAAATTATCCTTATCTTCTAATGCTGCTGTATTGTCAATTCTTGGGCAGTGGAAGGTTTCTTGACCTCTTAAATATGACCCAAGATCTACATGATAAGATCTAACCCTATTTTTTCCCATAGAATCCAAGAAGAATGGTGTTCCCTATCACCTGCCCTTCATGTTAGTCAGGGCAATGTAGAAATTCAACTGGTCTTGTCCCATTCTATGCCCTGATCCTTTAGAAGTGATTGCATACTACAAATTTTCAATATGCCTTCCTAGGACCCTTTCCATCTACAGAAATGGGGAGCCTGGCATAGCATTGGAATCATGATGAGGTAGTCCCTCCTTGCTGTGGTATTTAGCATGCACAAGGCTGTGTTCACAACAAAAAGTTTTGTTGGGCAGACATCTAGGAATCTGTCCCAATGAACCCTCCTATATGGCTGGGCCACACATCCGATACTCAGTATGCCAAGGCCAACACTAGTAGTTTTATTCTGAGTCTGGTCCACATCTACAGTCCACCAAAGTCCTGCTGATAATCTCAGTAGCCAGATCAGATGCTTTGGGCTCCCCCTATTGCCTAATCCAGGGAGCCTCACAGTCCTCTTTCCATTTAAGTTTTATTAGCTATAGGGAGTTGGGAGGCTACCCTTGTCTTTCAGACAGTCTAAACGCCCACTGAAGCATTTCAATGAGGGCAGCTCCAGCAATGTCTTCTTTGAAGGTACCATGATGTACAACTCCTTCTATCATCGGCTTCTCTGCTGTCTTCTGAAATAACATATCTAGCATCAACACAAGGGCAAATGCTCTTTCTCTTGATTTATGGGAAATTTTTAGTAATATGACCTTCATGGTTTTTTGTCTTTTACATACTATTAAACACCTGTTTGAGTGTCTTCAAGAAAGCCAGCTAGGCTAATGAGGCATTGTTAACTGGGGACACGGATGAGTTCATATGCAGGACCTGTCAGGCTTTCAATCCAACTTTCCTTTTTCCGCCTCAGATACCTGCCACTCAGAAAGCATCTCAGTGCTGTACTCCAGCCAGGCTCAAAAGCCTCTTCACCAAAGCTAACACAGCACTCATAGAGAGCACCCTGAGTTCCAGTATCCTGTAGTTTCAACAAAGCACTAAACTGCTGGCTCCGGCATAGAAACCATAAGATCCCTTAATAGGACTCTCTCTGTCCTTTTCTCATTTCCCCCTTTTAGTTCCCCACATTAAATAAAGAATCAGCCTTTTTAGAAATTTCATATTTTAATGAGAGAGTTTATCACTTTACAGGTACTCTTGCTCAAGTCATTCCCTAGGAATCCAAGGAATCTTCTGCTTTTGTACTCCACATTTGCACTTTCTTCCATCTTGAACAGCCTTTCAAACACCCATATTTTTCCTGGCCCTCCAAAACAACCCGCATTGCTTAAATAATATAGTCATCATAATTCTCTGTGATCTTCAAAGCAATCATGACTGTATGAAGGTCTCCATCTATTCCATGATACTCATCTTGAAACAGTCTTAATGCTAATGCCTCGAAAATGCTTGATGGTTCAATTCCACCACTGAAAAGTTGGTTAGGTCAGATTGTGGACTGTCTGGAACAGAGGTTCACATACAGAAGGGCACAAAAATCAATGCTCATGCTCTTTGAAGATGTGCTGGGATGCTGGGGCATGAAAAGCCTCCAAGTAGCCACCCCCATGCTTCTTTGCCTAAAGAAGTGCCTTTTTTTCTCTTTAGAGTTTCCTTCCACGATATGACAAGAATCCAAGGAGTGAATATGGGATAGGCTGGGTTCAAAATGGCTGCTGGCAGTGCTAAGATTCACAGAGTCCTTACCTGATTAAATGTATTTAAATCAAAAGTTGGTCGTTGTTCTGCAGCCTCAGCCCAGCACTTCTTCATCAGCTGGAGACATTCTGGAGGGGCACGCTCAGGAGGAGCTACTGGTCTATACACAGGAGGAGGCTTCTTAAGTCTGTCTATGATTTCTACCCAGAAGCAAGAAGAGAAAGGTGTACAAATCATGGGAAAAGCACCAAGACTTAGCAAAAATAAGTGAGTTTCAGCCAAAAAAAAAAAAAGTTGTTGCTCAGCAGAAATCACAGAAAGCCCATCTCCATGCTTTCTGCTTTGGTGACATGAATATAAATTGTATCTGAGCAAATGTTACATCAATTGAAGGTAAACAAATGGTCAGTTGGGGATGGGGTAAAAAATTAATCAATTGAACTACTTGTATCATTTAGGCACAGCTTTATTCTGCTTCTGCTAGGTTTTAGATGAGGCTTACCAGATGCCAATTATAAAACTATAACTCCAATTATCTGACTCCCTTCACTCATCCACAAATTATCTAAGTTTTCTAATCCCCATAGAAGACACAATTACCACCTCACCCCCATAAGGCCTAAGACCAACTCAGGTCCAGGCTATGGGCCCTGACAGGCTCCTAGAAAAAGGGGATTTAAAAATCCAGTAGATAGTTCAGAACCTCATTGGTATCCTCCTGGCTGTTTGTCCTTGAGCTCCATTTTGGAGGAACATTTATCAGACTATGGCCTGAGTAAGTACTTTGCATGCATTGTTTCACTTGGTTCTCATTACAGACAGATAAAGTAGGAACTCTTCATTTCTCAAAAGGGAAAACTGAGGCACACAGAGAGTAACTTACTCAAAGTCACATGGATAATAAGTGAACAGAATTCAAATTTGATCCTAGGTAATCTCAGTCTATAACATTGTCCTTCTTGCAAATGTCTCAAACCTCAACTGGGAGTTTTAAACTCTCAATTCAGACACAACAGCCATTAGTGACCAGAGGTCTATATCAGTCCGACTGATGTTTTTACAAAGGGAAAAAACTCCCTAGAAGTAGGAGAAAATGGTTAGCCTTCACTGCCCCCTAGCAACCTGCACTAGTCTCATATTGGTCTCTGCTTCCAGCCTAGCCTTCTCCAAACCATTCCTAAAACATGAATTTGGCCATGTCACTTTCTTGCCTAAAACCCATTCATGACTTCTTATAACCCACAAGATAAAATCTAAACCCTATATCTTCAGCTCATTTCTTATCCTTAGTCTGCTATCCATAACCCCAACCCTAACATCCTCATCATGAACCAAACCTTACTTGCCCTACCTGTATGCTCTTCCCATTGGCTATAACACACAACAGTGATGCTTCAGGCCATAATAAAAGTCCCCTTACCCCATGAAAGAATTTCAGCTGTTGCCTCTGACTTCTTAGCTCCTTGTGACATCATACCTTCTGCTCTTATAACCCAGGTTTGCTTATACCAGTAATGTTTTCTCCATCACAGCACCCTACTCTCACCCTACTCTCTCAGTGCAATAGAGTTCATGTAAATCAACTCCTTGGAATACAACTGCCCCATCCACTCTCTAGCAGAGGGAGTCTTTGTTCCTTTCTCAGAACACCATAAAATTGAATGGGTCACTTCTCTACTTAGGTCAAGCATGATTCACGCCCTTGAGGAGCTCACAGTCCAATTAAGAAAATAAACAATGACCAACAATATAAGTGCTCTAGCAGACAAACATGCAGGTAAACAAAAGGGGGGCACCTGACTCACACTGAAGAGGTCAGAAAAGCTTTCCAAGAGGAGGTGACACAATTTGGATGAGGCAAAGTGGGGAAAAGGTGAGGTCATTCCAGGTACTATGAACAGCCTGTGTGAATACACAGAGGTGTGAGAGACCACAAGGCTTTCAGGGCACTGCCAGTCATGGGGTTTAGGTGGAGTGTGGGGAGTGAAGATAAGCCTAGAGAAGTGGTTAGGGGCCAGACTGTGAAAAGCATTATACTAGTATGTCATGTGAGAAACACGTGTTTCATTTGACAAGTGATGGGGAACAGTTGGGGAGCTTTGAGTAGACAAATGATATTGGACTCTAAGTAGGGCAAAGGATAACTAACTATTTGGGGATTTTTGTTTTGTTTTGTTTGCATTTTTAAATTCCTTTATTTTGAAATAAATTTAGACTTCCAGAAAAGTTGTGAAAAATAATACAATTGCCTATATGGCCTTCACTCAGCTTCCCTTAATGTTAGTAACTTATATTACCACTAGTGACCCAGTGTACGGATTCGTGTACATTGAAAGGAAATTAATTAGAAGGTGGCCGGCAGGGCTGGACTGGGCTAGACAGGCTGGACATGCCCTGGAGCCAACCTCCCAAAGTCCCTCCCCAGCTGCCGCACCTGGGGTGGCGCCGTGGCTCAACGGGCGTCTGCAGAGTGAGCAGGGTTCCTTTGACAGGTGGGGTCCCTCGCCCTGGTCTGTGGGTTGGCCTGATAATCTGGGTCATGGTGAGCCCCTGGTATGCTTTTCTCACCTCTTGCTTACCTTCAGCAGGCAGGTCCATCATGCAGAATGGGGTTCCCCAGACCATCACTTCATGCATGATGATGGCAAAGCTATAGAAATCTACTGCAAAAGAACCTAACTTGCTTCCCCTGGGGGCTCTCAGCAGTTCAGGGGCTGTCCACAACAATTCTAAAAAGAAAGTATTGTGTAATGAATGCAGGGTGGATTAACTGACAGTATGTCCCCCAGGGCTCCAAGTGTGCTATTTCATTGACTGCTTTATATTGTTACTAGAGGCCTGGTGCACAAAATTAGTGCACAGGTAGGATCCCTAGGCCTGGCCAATGATAAGGGCCAATCAGGGCCTTCCAGCTGCCGGCCGGGGCCTCCCTTCCCTGGCTGCTGGCTGCCGGCTGCTGGCCAGGGCCTTCCTTTGTTCCGCATCGCCCCCTGGTGGTCAACGCACATCATAGTGAGTGATCAAACTCCCAGTCTCCCAGTTGAACTCCCGAGGGGACACTTTGCATATTAGTCTTTTATCTATATAATAAAAGCCTAAGGGACAATTACGGTGGAATGACCAGAACGACTGATTACTATGATGTGCACTGACCACCAGGGGGCAGACACTCAGTGCACTCCCACAGGGGGAGTGCCACTCAGCCAGAAGCCGGGCTCACGGGTGGTGAGCGCAGCTGCCACTGTGGGAGCCTCTCCTGACTCTGTGGCAGTACTACAGCACTGTGGCAGCAGGTGCAGCGAGCCAGGATGAGTGCGAGTGGTGTGACACTCGGCCCCGATTCAGGCTCCTCCCTGGCCACCTGCCGCTTGGCGCACTGCTACATCCCCTGAGAGGTCCCAGACTGCAAAAGGGCACAGGCTGGACTGAGGGACCACCCGCCCCCAGTGCATGAATTTCATGCACCGGGACTCTAGTATATAAAGATTAAACAAACTGGCATGCTAGTGCCTTCCCAGGGTCTGAATATATGAACCTAAGGAATTATGCACAGAGAAAGTATACTACTTTCCCCACCCTAGGACATGCCAGCATACACAACACATGTGTGGGGATGGACAGAGAAGCTCAAAGTAGAAAACTATCTGGCTCTTGCTTTCTTGCTCTCTTGAGCCTGCCAGTAGCAGTTGGCAGGCTTCCAAGGAAAGGCAGTGCATTTCCAGACTGGTTGCCATGGATTTTCTGTTTGCTAAAATCTATATGTGTCTAGTAATTTGATTGTGCTGGAGCTCAGGGATTCATAGGTTGGTTTCTCCAGGTCTTCTCTAAAAGGATTAGAGGATCCTCAGGCCTCCTCTGTTCCTTGAATAGCAAAAAGGTACAGCAAATCCTTCAACTCAGTTCTGCAAATATTTATTGAGGATCTACTATGTATTAGACACAGTGCTAGGTACAGGCAAGGTGCCAAAGATAAATTAGGCCTTGCATTTGCCCTTGCACAGTTCACAGACCAGTGGATAAGACAGACATGTGTACCCCTAACTGCAATACAAGAGAGATAGTGACGAGGCCTACTATATAGTACAAGAAAATGAATCCATTAAAAGCCAAATTTGACCACCCATAGTGTGCTCTGCATCATTTCAGGCCCCATCAAGGTAAAAAATATATTATTTCTGCTTTCAGAGTGTTACGGCAGTTAGATACTCAGAAATTTTGGGGGGAGAACCCCTTAAGCAATACATGAAAGTTGTAGTAAACAACAGGTTGATGCCCAGATAGAGATGCTGAAGAAATGTGAAGAAATACACATTAACGATATAAATAGAATAGTCAAAAGTTGGCGGGGATCTTTTACATTGAATCGTATGAAATTGCTGTTTCTATAGGTCACAATGGTTAAATATTGACAATTTCTTAAAGTGCAAACAAATATAAAACTGAACTGATCAACCTAATCCAGAAAGGCTTCCTGGGAAAGTTAAATCTTAAAGGAACTTGTTAAGAAGGTTGAGGTGCAGTTTCCTAGAGCTGAGAGGGTAAAGGCTTTGCAGGGAAAAAGAACAGTACATGCAAAAGAATAAGAGGTAGAAAGGAGCAAATTGTGGATGGGGTGGTGGTAAGCAGATTAGGTTGGCTAAAATGAGTGACTCTGTTAAGAAATAATGATAAGTGAAAAATGGGGTTGATGAAGTGGGAGAGGAAGGGTATGTGGAAGAATGAGGGCAGAAGGTGAGAGGCCCTGAGAGACAAATGAAGGCATTTGGAATGAATACAAAAGGCAGTAGGGGTACAGCAGTTGGAGAAGAATTTGATGAAAACCGTGTACAGGAAGATGAATCTGGCAAACTGCACAAGCTGGATTAAAGAACCAGAGAGGCTGGAGTCCAGGAGACTAGCTAGGAAGTTGTTACTGGAAGAGCCAGAGTCGAGGTGAAAGGGGCCTTAATAGGGGTGCAGGTGGCAGCAGCAGTATGGAAACCAGATACATAGGAAGGCTACAATGGGGAAGGAAGTGATAGGGCTGAGGATAAGGTCTATGTGCTCTGAGAAGGGGTGAAAGTTATAGTAAACAACAGGTTGATGGCCAGATAGAGATGCTGAAGTAATGTTCACTGAGGGTGCGGGGGAAAGTGGTGGCTTACTTTTCATCTTGTTAAATTTGGGGTATTGGGAAGGGAGTCCAAGGGACAAGCTTCTATGAAGCAGGAAGAGTGAAAGGTCTGAGATTATTTTGGTTTGTTAGTGAAACCCCAGAAAGAGAAACTCACCCTGGAAATTCTTATTTTGAGCCAATCCTGATCAAAATGGTAGAACAGGGAATTCTCACCTTACCGTCAATCATATACTCACCTTTTCTCTTTCTCTTCTAGGTATCCCCAGTCTTTTTTCCCTCTCCCCTGCCCCCATGGAAGTCTCTGATACACTCTCTATAGTGATTTTGCCCTTATGACTCCTTACCTAAGTGGACTGATATTTACAAATAAGACTGAAAAGATCAAATTATACTTCAAACAAAGAATATATTTATGCCTGTGGGATTTCAGGTGTATGCTTTTGAGGGGGAGGGCAGGAGGAATATTTGGGAGCAGAGAAAATGGAGTGTAACTGCTTCTTCCTGGCATCCTCTCTCTGTGCAAATTTAAAAGCACAAAAAGGGAAAGGAGGACAGAACTCTGTGGTAAAAGCTGGATTATTAAATACAATCATTATCAGATAGTATTTTCAGAGAGCACTTACATGTATGTTGTTAATGGCTAAAATGCGGCTTTATCTGCACTATAGTTATATAATTGAGAGTAGACAGTAATGAATACACTTACAAACCACCCCCATTTCCCCATCCCTACTCCAGAGCCAAGTAAGAACACTACATGCCATACTTAAACTCTCAAGAAAACTAGAAAAATTACCTTAGCTTGTTTTTTTATCTGCTGGAAGCAATACTAACTCTGAGCCTTGCTATGGTGATAAAATCACCTTTCAATAGTCAGTGTGGTAAAGTACAAGAATATCATAGATATGGAAATAAAGAGACCTGAGTTTAAAATCTCAGCTTGGTCACTACTTAGCTCACCTTTCTGAACCTCAGTTTCTCCAACTATAAAATGGAAATTGAGCCAGATGACCTCTAAGAGCTTTTTAATTATAAGATAATTAGCCCTGTCATCTACGGCAGGGAGCAGCAAGTTACTTCATCCATTTATTTTATTTTTTTAAAATACATTTTATTGATTTTCCACAGAGAGGAAGGGAGAGGGATAGAGAGTTAGAAACATCGATGAGAGAGAAACATCAATCAGCTGCCTCCTGCACACTCCCTACTGGAGATGTGCCCGCAACCAAGGTACATGCCCTTGACCAGAATCGAACCTGGGGCCCTTGAGTCCACAGGCCGACGCTCTATCCACTGAGCCAAACCGGTTAGGGCACTTCATCCATTTATTGATGCAGCAAACATTTATCCTGTCTGGTTGAGAAAGGTTCTGAAGGAAGCAAACCTATTTCTTGCCTTCACGGAGCTTATAGTTTAAATAGGGAAAGAGGACAGCTAATTAAACACATAATACAAAAAAAAAGTATAGTATTACAACAAAGTTCAAAGCCCTAAGAATCATTAAGAGAACTTAGCCCAGCACAACGAATCATGGGAACCCTCTTGAATAAGTGGTATTTATGCTGAGCCCTAAAGAAGGAATAGAATTTAGCCAGAATCAGATAAGTATATATAAGAGTGGGAAGGGAAGACTATCCTAAGCAATGTGCACAGTGTGTGTGTGAAGATCTGTAAGTAAGAGAGGGCCTGGTGTAAATAAACAACTGGAAGGAGTTCAGCACTGCTGGAGCATAGAGATGGAAAGAGGTTTGCAAGGCCCAGACCATGCAAGGCTCATAAGCCATGTAAAAGAATTTGAACTTTATCCTAAACCATGGGAAGCCACTGAATGAATTTTGGCACAGCTGTGACATGATCAGATTTGCAGTTTAGAAAACTCCTGGCTGCAGTGTGTGAAGAATGGTTTGAGCATCCACACTGCCGTAGCAATTTGGAGAGTGAAATGAAACAGAAAGAGCGAGAGGTAGAGAAAGAGACAGACACAGTACACACTCACACACTTACACACACGCACAGATACACTGCAACTATCCTTTCCTCACTCTGAGACCAGAGTTTCTTCAGTTTGAAAGTTGTCAACCTGTGAATTAAATGGAATTCTGGAAAGCTTGGCATTGTGTTTTATCTTTTGTGGGTAACTAATTTTGACAGGAAGCTAAGTACTTGCCACTCTGCAGCTGCTGTCCCAACACGTTAGCTCTAAGACCAGGAAACCACTCCAAGCTTTCAACCTGGAATCAGCCAAATAATAACCATAGGACTAAGTCTGCAATAAGAACAGGGAGGGGAGGAAGGGAGGGAGGAAGGGAGGGAGGGAGGGAGGGAGGGAGGGAGGGAGGGAGGGGGAGAGGGAGAGAGAGAGAGAGAGAGAGAGAGAGAGAGAGAGAGAGAGAGAGAGATGAGAGAAGAGAGAAGAGAGAAGAGAGAAGAGAGAAGAGAGAAGAGAGAAGAGAGAAGAGAGAAGAGAGAAGAGAGAAGAGAGAAGAGAGAAGAGAGAAGAGAGAATATCACAAGATTTTTATTGTGATTACCAGGAGCTTCATCCTCCAAAGCATGGATGGGTAGAGAAAGAGGAAATTAGTATATGTTTTAATTTAGTTGGATGAAAGGGCTAGACTGCAGAAGACCAAAATTGAATTCCTGGAAATGCTGCTAAGTAGCTGCATTATTTGAGAAAATATTGAGCCTCCGTTATCTTATCTGTTAAATAAGAGAGTTGGACTAGATGATTCCCTAAAGTTTAATATCCCACAAGTTTTGTAAAGCACAAAGATGATACCACTGATGACCAGACTGTCCATCTCTATCTGCGCATGTGTCCCTCCGTCTTTCGTTCTTCATTTTTTCTATGTAATACAGTCAGCAGTTTTAAAACTTATAATGCCAAAGATCCTTTAAAGAATATGAGAATATGTTGTAATTTTATCTCCCTCCTCCTATCTTTTTGGGCTGTGTTTTCTGTGTCACTCTCTTCTTTGCCCTTGCAATACTGGTTAAAACTTTCTGATGTGTATTTTACCTGATTCATTGTTTCTCCTTCTTACTTTTTCTCTTTCTTCCTCCCTCTCTTCCATCAGTTCATTTCCTCCTAGTTCTCATTCACTCATTCCCACTCCCCACTGCAGATTTCTATTTGATCTGTGATTATCCCTACAGACATTGTTTGGTGCTGCCACTAGTGCACTACAGAAGATAAAAACACAAAATGGACCTTAATGCCATACCTACTTATTTACTAGAATGCCATAGTTCTGTCTGAAGTCCTCCCACACAACCCATAGAGCATTAACTTGCTAGGGGCCCCCTACTTGCTTCTATCTCTCTGACAGAGACAGTGAGAGTAGGCTCTAGTGACATCCCATTTCAGAATGTGCTTTGTAGGGGTCCAGCTACCAAATTACCTTCCATTCAATCTGACAAGTATTTTTGAGCACCTACTGTGTGCCCAGTGCTCAGTACTTTCCTCCAGGGACTCCTGGGGTCTCCAAACAATACAGCCTAATCCTGCCACAGCAGGAACGCAACATTATTGCAAAGGCTTTGTTCTGAAGGTTAGGCTTTGCTAAGATTACAGCCTACAGAATTCATTCAACTCCTTTGGCTTGGAAATGAGGCTGAATTTTCAACAAAAGTGAGGAGTTGAATCAGCCTGAGGCTTTAATTCAGTGCATATACTCATTTGAATTTTGGAGCTACCTTATGAACATCAGAAAGGTAAAATACATAGCTTACCTTCAGAAGGTTTCTCTTGGGAGAGTCTTAGCATTTCCAAGATGTCATTAAAGCCATAATCTGTCACTTTTAGTACAAAATGCCCATCTACCACATAGTTCCCGAGATTTCAGCCTCCCATGAGCAAACTCTCTATGGTGTAAGTACTTCATGCCCTGAAGATGATACAAACAGGATTTATCTAGCAACTTATTTAACTATTTTTCGCTTATAGAGCTACTTTCTGAGATTAATGGCATGAGTTATTATGATCCAGAATTCAGCCTTTTTTTTCCTTATATCCAGGCAAAGCAAACTCTGACAACAAGAATTGTTTCCTGGGCCCTTTTAACTCTAAAATTGTATGCTTTGATAGGAATCATATCTTGAGTGTATCAAGAATTGTGTGTTATTGGAAGATTTACTGCCATTTCAAACACAGGATGGATTCATACATATATAATTGCCAAGAATTTGAAGATTTTGCCCCCCTCCCAAAGGTCTAGTGCAACTTTCATCTACTATTGGCAGGAATGAAAATTGGTACATCAATTTGGATGGGCAAATTGGCCATAGCTAGAGAGAGAGAGAGGGAGAGAGAAAGAGAGAGAGAGAGAGAGAGAGAGAGAGAGAGAGAGAGACTTACAGATTCTACTTCTTCTCCAAAGAAATGCTTGCTCATCTGTACAAGAAGACATATACAAGAATTCTCATTGCAGCTCTGCTTTATAATATTGCATAATTGGAAATACAATAAATACCTATCAAGAAGGGACTGTTCAAATTGTGGTATATCCAAACTACAGAATGTTCTGCAGCAATTGAAAATAATCAGGTATATTTATATGTGTCAACAGGGAAACATCTGTAAGCCATAGAGTAAGTAAAAAATAGTAGGTTGCAGAACTATATGACAGTATATATTTTAAAAAACAAACAAAATCTGTAATGTATACCAATACACATGAAATTAATTACAAGGCTAATCACCAAATTGTTAACAGTGGCTAACTTTGGAGGAGGATATGAAAAAGAATGAATAAATATATTTTTATATCATTGGATTTTTAAAATTAATTTAATACATTATTTTTGTAATGTAAAATAGGCAATAAAAAAGAAGAAAGCTGAATATTCCTGATCTTTGCAGCTTGCTTGGCAACTTTATGACACTCAAATGTGATCTACCAGAACTCTTTCAGATGGATTTAATCATTCACATATAAATATATCCATATTCTAATGTAATCATTTCAGAACTGTTTATGCCTAGCCTTTTAAAGTATCTGGCTCTATTTTGTAGCCTGACACCCCTTTTATATTTGTATGCTTTATATCATATGCCCTCAAAACGTCTGCAGTCCCCTGTATTTCTTAGCAGAGTCTGCAGTGGGTAAGATTTTCCCCAAGTTGTCTAATGTTTGGGTTTCATTCATCATGGGCCTGAGAGTACTGTCATTTATAGGTTCCTCCCTTAATTCACGGGACCTTGCTTACAAGGTAAGTGGAAAAGTACTAAAACAGGAATTAGGAGATTTGGATTCTATTATTGATGAGGAAAATAAGACATTTGCGGGGGGGGGGGGAGGGGTTGTTAGCAGCCTGACTCTGTATCCCTAATGCACATTCCTGTTAGCCTATAGCAGTGATGGCGAACCTTTTGAGTTCGGCGTGTCAGCATTTTGAAAAACCCTAACTTAACTCTGGTGCTGTGTCACATATAGAAATTTTTTGATATTTGCAACCATAGTAAAACACATATTTTTGATATTTATTTTATATATTTAAATGCCATTTAACAAAGAAAAATCAACCAAAAAAATGAGTTCGTGTGCCACCTCTGACACGCGTGTCATAGGTTCGCCATCACTGGCCTATAGTCTAGTCACTGCCCCTTCCTTAATTATCTGGTCTTGCAAAACCTGTTTACGTAAGTACTCCCATTTTACAGAGGCCATAAACCATGAACAATACACAACCCCCAGAGGGAGTTATCAGTGCTGGCGCCAAGCCAGGCCTTTAGGTGTGGTCTCACGGCACTTATCCCAACACATGGGGCTTTTTGCAAAGCCCACGAAAGTTCCAGAAGTATGATCCATATTTGGGGGACAAAGAAACCAAAGGGTATAAAGAGAAAGCTTCCTCCATATTGGTTCACTCAGGATTTGGAAATAGGCTCCCCTGAGTCATGGTACTAGTACACTGGAAATAAATGGGTTTTTCCTGTATCTCCTGTGTATTTTTCGGTCACCTGGTAAATTCTGTAACATTATCAACTCTGCCACTTAATAGTTGGCTGGTAAATACAGGTGAAGGCAAAAGTAGGTTTATAGTTGTTCGTATAAAAGACATGCAGTTTATAATTATTACAATAGCTTTATTAACTCAAAAGAATGTCACAATGGCACAGTGCACTTAGGTACAATCTCATAAGTGCTCAAATTGCTAGCCTTCATTTTTTACACATTCTTGTAGTCTACTTGCTATGCTCTGTGTTTCATGTACACACAAATGTAAACCTACTTTTGCCCACCCCTGTATTTATTAAGCACCTATTATGTGTGGCAGATACTACATAAGAAAGTACACCTCATTTAGTTTCTCTGAGCCTCTGTAAAAGGAGGCCAATCACACTTATTTTATAAAGAATTGGAACAAGATAATGTCTATAAAAGCTAGCTTGAAAAAGATTAGGCCATAATACAAAGGTCAAGACAGTGATCAATATGCAAGAAGCTCAACAAGTCATTGATTATCCAGATCAGCCTCATAAAAATGCACATAGACAGAATTTGCATATTATTCCAGGGAGTTCATGGACTCCTTTGAAGCCCATCCATGAACTGTCTTGGCTGTGAATAATTCTTGCCTCAGAAAATGAACGTGCTGCCTGATAGACCCAATGGTCTTTAGTTTTACTGGTCATGCTGAGTTCCATATCTACACCCATGGTAATGCAAAGACCCATCATCCAGTTCTAGACTGAACCACTTGCTAGAAGATTAAAGCCAGGAGATTGGACTAAGCAGCATCAAATAATCTGGAAATGAGCACTTTCCCACAACCAGAAAGCAAAGAAGTGGAATGGAAGAAAGGATTACTGAAAGTAAAGAGTGCTCAATGCCAATAGGAAGTAAACAAAAAAAAATATGACCCTCAAATTTGGGTGAGGAGAAGGGCAAGTAAAACCTTTCTATATTAGTACCTTATAACAGATATGGGCAAAAAGACTGTGAGAAGGGGTGGGAGGCATACCCTGGGAAGGAAGGTAGAAGAGTGAAATCATCACAAGGATCCAAGGAAAACAAAACATACGAAAATATTTAAGTTCTAATCTACAGGGAAAATTCAAGACTTCCTCAGTTTTTCCATTAACCTTAATGAGATCCAGCAGGAGTGATGATTTAAACATCCAGTCTAGTTTCACATCTTCATTCATCAGTATGTCTTCTAGACTCCTTCGGAAACAGATTTCTGTCACAATGGCAAACATTCCCGAATCATAGAAGAAGCCCAACAAAGGGTTAATATTTTCATGATATAGGTCCTTTATCTGGAAACAGAGGGAGAGAGGAGAGTCACAGGTGTCCTGTCTCAATTAGGGACCAGAATTTATGGCACATACCCTTCTTCAGCCTTTTTATGATTGCTGGTGTGGTAAGCAGAATTTTGGCCCGATAATCTCCAAATCCTAGTGTTACTCCTGTGATTGTGCTATGTGACACAAGGGAGAGTATAGAAGTGGGCCTAATCTAATCACATGAGCCCTTTAAATCAGAAGAGAAGGGATGAGAGGAATTCAGAGATTCAAAGTGTGAGGACTCAATGCTCTATTCTTGGCTTGTAGACTGAGGAAGGAGGCTATAAACTGAGGAATATGGGTAGACTTTAGAAGTTGGAAATGGCTCTCAGCTGACAGCCATCAAAGAAATGGGGATCTCAGTCCATCAACTGTATGGAACTAAATTCTGATGACATCCTGAATGAGCCTAGAAGTGTTTTCCCCTCAGAAACTTCAGATAAGAGCCCAGCATGACTGACACTTTCACTTCAGGCTTGTGTGATGCTTAAATGGAAGACTCAACTGAGCTCACTTAGACTTCTGATATTCTGAACTTTGAGATAATAAATGGGTCTTGTTTTAAGCCACTATGCTTGTGCTATTTTGTAGTGGCAATAAGGATTCTAATCACCAATTTCACTTTGTGTGTGAGAGGGGGAGGGGAGTGGTTTTCCACATAATCAAGCAATTCTCTGACACCATTTGGGTGTCCAATAACTCAATTCGATTCTGGCACTATATATCTAGAGATAGAGTCAGATCCCACAGGTTAAGGGTTCAATCCTATAAGACTATTCCAATCCACTTGAGACACCAGTCATAAATCCAGGTTAACTGGGTTTCTAACCAACCAGCTGTATAGATTACAAGTTTAATGAACCCCTCTTTGGGTTTATTTAATTTGCTACAGCAGCTCGCAGAACTCAGAATCATTTTTCTTACTAGAGTACCAGTTTATTATAAAAGGATATAACTCAAGAACAGCCAGATAAAAGAGATGTATAGTGCAAGGTAGATGGAAAGGGCACAGAGCTTTCATGCCCTCTCCAAGCCATTCTCTCTAAATTTCCTTGTGTTAGCAACCTGGAAGCTCTCCAAACTGTCTTTTTGGGGTTTTATGGAGGCTTCATTACATATGCATGATTGATTAAATCGTTGGCCATTGGTTTCATTATATATGCATGATTGATTAAATCGTTGGCCATTGGTGACTGATTCAACCTCTATCCCCACTCCCCTCCCCCACAGTCAGGGTGACTGGACTGAAATTTCCAACCCTCTAATCACATTGCTGGTTCTCCTGGCAACCACTCTCATCCTTTGGTGCTTTCCTATAGTCACCTCATTAACATAACAAAAGGTACCTTTATCATTCTCATCACTTAGGAAATTTCAAGGGTTTTAGGAGCTCTGTGCCAGAAATGGGGACAAAGGACAAATATATATTTCTTTTTTTTTTAATAATGTCTTTATTGTGTCTCAGGGCTGTTGCTCTTTATTTTTTTGTCCTTTTTTTTATTGATTAAGTTATTACATATGTGTCCTTATTCCCACATTACCCCCATCCCCCCCACTCATGCCCTCATCCCCCTGTTGTCTGTGACAAATATATATTTCTTATAAATCACAATATCACAAGCGGTGGTAGTAAAAGAATGCAATGGTCAAAGAGGGAATATCGTAAATGAATACTGGAACTGTGGCCTTCTAACAGATTCTTTGGGGACTCTGTGGAGTGAAGCTCAGTGACCCAGGGGGATTAAAGAAGGTTAATACATTAAAAGCTGGAATAGATTGCCTATAAAATTTGTTTCAGAAGAAACACCTAGAATTTTGGCTACATTTTCTCTTTGCAACTATTCATTTTTTCACTAATGTGAGAAGCATTTATTACGTGCCCACAATGTACAAGACACTGGACTTCATGCTAGAGATACAGAAATAAAATAAATAAAATCACAGTCCAGCTTAAACCAGCTAAGGCAGACATGGAAAATCAGCCCACACATAGTTTCTCAGGTTTCATTGTAGCAGCTTTTATGGACCAAGTAACCAAAACTATGGGGCTCTGAACCACTGTTGAAAGACAGAGTACAAAGTGGTTATGTCAGAGACTGCTAGAAGTTCAATACAAATCCACTTCCTTTTCTTATTGGGAAAACAACTAGTGCACATTTTCTAGCCTCCCTTGGAGCTAAGTGTAGCCATATGACTGAATTCTTAGCAATGGAATATGAGAGGAAGTGATCAGTGATATTTCTAGTCTAAGGTTTTTAAGAAGTGAATATACAACTTTCCATGCTATTTTCCTACTTCTATAGATGAAAGCAGATGATGACAAGGCCCTAGGAGAGAGCAGAGTCATAAAATGGTTATATCTTGGGCCCCTGAATCACCATATTAGAAGAGTCACCAGCCAACTAATGAAACCTAACTTATACTGATCTTTGGATGAAAATTAAACTTCTGCTGTGTTTGAGACATTAAATATTTCAGGGTGTTTTGTTACAACATCTAGCTTTACACTAAGAGCCCTAGAGCCCTAGTATGGAAAAATTTAGGCCTAAATTTTCCCTAGATCTTTACAGTCATATGTCCTCAGTTACAATAGAGAAGATTCTATACATGCAGTCATGCCCTACTCATATTCTGGACAAACCCAGGAAGCAGAGAATATTTGGAGCACCTGTGCTAGCTAGATGGTCATCTGAACATTTACTGGGTAGGCATGTACTTCACCTCTGCCATATCTCCCTAGCTCAGTGGTCGACAAACTCATTAGTCAACAGAGCCAAATATCAACAGTACAACGATTGAAATTTCTTTTGAGAGCCAAATTTTTTAAACTTAAACTATATAGGTAGGTACATTGTTATTAACTTAATTAGGGTACTCCTAAGCTGGCCTTTGCTAAAAACGTCCTCAATCTGATTGAGGTACGTGCCCTGAGGTCGACCCCATCCAACTCTCCCATCCACACTGTCTTGTATACTTGTTTCAGAGAGACGAGTGTGGATGGGAGAGTTGGAAGGGGTCGACCTCAGGGAACATACCTCAAAACAATGTACCTCCCCTGTGCTGCGTATTCCATGGCCTGCCTGCGCCACATCTCCCATCGCCCGACCAACCAACACCCCCCACCACTTCTTCTAATGCCACTTCTTCAAAATAGACTCACCCAGGCCAAAAACCGACTTCTGCGCATGGGCCAGGAAGTTTCAATCGCACTGTACGTGTGCGCCCGCATGTGGTATTTTGTGGAAGAGCCACACTCAAGGGGCCAAAGAGCCGCATGTGGCTCGCGACCCGCGGTTTGCCGACCACTGCCCTAGCTGGTTACCATCAAAAGTTCAAGATTTACCCCCTGGTAATGGGCGAGGAGACACATGATTGGTGGTGTTGCTCTTATATCAGTTAGGGACAAAGCAAATGTACAGTCCTTAGTTCATCCTAGCTTGATGCCTGTGTCGGTGGCCAGAGCTGTGTCATGCCTGAGGCACATAAAAAAAAAAGTTCAAGATTTGAATGTGTCCTGTCACTCAATAACTTAAGTTTCACAAATCTTTTATGTTCAAGGAGGAGTCAAGATTTTAAACTGAACCCTATTTAGTTTCTGTCCAACCCAAATCTTCAGGCTGCTTTGTTAAAGAAACCACCCAAGGATTCTTTGAACATAATTGGTAGGATTGGGGAAATCATTTTTCTTATGTAAATATAAAATGTTAGTTATTTTAGAGAACAGATTGGTTTTATCACTTGCACTGGATTTGATGGACTTAACATCTCCAGAGGGGAACTTTTTCAGCCACACCCAATTACCCTAAATGAAAAGGTAGAGAATGGCAATGAGACTTAGTTGCTTTAGATTATGCAGCAAATGTCCCATCCACATGAAGGGTTTATAGTTAGACCATCAACCTAAACAGGCTTTATTCTTCTTCTCTCATCCTCTGCCCATAGACATTCTGTATTCTGAGCTAAAAATGAGGTTATACAGAGAAATTAAAAATTCCAATTAAGCCCAGCCAGTGTTGCTCAGTGGTTGAGCATCATTGATGTTTCTATCTCTCTCTCCCTCTCGCTTCCTCTCTGAAATCAATAAAAATATATTTTAAAAAATTAAAACAGACTAAATTTATTTTTTTTAATTTTTTTTCTTTATTGATTAAGGTATTACATATGTGTCCTTATCGCCCCATTGCCCCCCACCCCCCCACGCATGCCCTCACCCCCCTGTTGTCTGTGTCCATTAGTTAGGCTTATATGCATTCATACAAGTCCTTTGGTTGATCTCTCCCCCTTACCCCCACCCTCCCCTACCTTCCTTCTGAGGTTTGATGGTCTGATCGATGCTTCTCTGTCTCTGGATCTGATTTTGTTCATCAGTTTATCTTGTTGATTATATTCCATAAATGAGTGAGATCATGGTATATTTATCTTTCTCTGACTGGCTTATTTCACTTAGCATAATGCTCTCCAGTTCCATCCATGCTGTTGCAAATGGTAAGAATTCCTTCTTTTTTACCGCAGCATAGTATTCCATTGTATAGATGTACCACAGTTTTTTAATCCACTCATCTACTGATGGGCACTTAGGCTGATTCCAAATCTTAACTATGGTGAATTGTGCTGCTATGAACATAGGGGTGCATATATCCTTTCTGATTGGTGTTTCTAGTTTCTTGGGATATATTCCTAGAAGTGGGATCACTGGGTCAAATGGGAGTTCCATTTATAGTTTTTTGAGGAAACTCCATAATGTTCTCCACAGTGGCTGCACCAGTCTGCATTCCCACCAGCAGTGCACGAGGGTTCCTTTTTCTCTACATCCTCTCCAGCACTTGTCATTTGTTGATTTGTTGATGATAGCCATTCTGACAGGTGTGAGATGGTACCTCATTGTGGTTTTGATAACCCCAATATAAGTGACCATCAGAGAAAAGAGAATTAGGGGAGAGAAAAGAGAGCACAAATGATATGGAAGAGAGAAAAAATGGTATGAGAGGAAAGTAAAAGAATAAAAAGGAATATATATATGGAGAAAACACCAGAGAACAAACAGGTAAACCAAAACATACAAACACCAAATTCCCAGTAAGGAGGGTGGGGGCAGAATCTTATATACAGAAAGTAAGGTTAAGAATTGGATGAATATGGGGAGGACCTCAGTTCAGTATAGAGGAAGCAGAAAGAGAATAAGTGGATAAGAAGAAAGAAAAAGAGAAGAAAATAATAATAGTAATAATAATAATAATAAATTTTTAAAAATTGATTTAAAAATAGGATAAAATAATAAAATAAAATAAATTAGAATGATGGAAAAATAATGTGAAAATAAATAGAAAATAAAGGAACAAACAAAAAAAGGAAAATAAAGAAAAAAAGAGATAACAAAATAATAATAAAATAAAATAAAAATGAAACAGTGAAGTGTCATTCCTTTGGATGGTTTAAGATCCCACTCTTCTGTACTGTCTGTGGCTTCTCAGTTTCCTGTTGCTGGGACTGAAGGCCTCCCTTTAGGCCAGTCCCTGTGTACTCTCAGGGACTATTCAGATTTTTTTTCCTTTGTACAACTCAGGGCATAGTCTGAGTGTGGCTGTATTGGTTGCCTGGAGACTCCAGAGAGGGGCTATCATCTCTTCAGGAGAAAAAGGCTTCCTAGGTCCTGTGCGTACGGTATGACTCAGCGCCAGACTCGCGGCCACCTCTCCTTGACCCTCTCCTCACCTCAGGCTCTCCTAGACTCCACAAGTCTGCACCTCCTCCTGCACCTCAGCCACGGATGAATGTCCATATCTGAAAGGTCCTATGAACTAGGTTCAGCAAAGAAAAGCAAATACCACAAAGAGGGGAAAGAGCTGCACCTCTGTGAGCCCCTCTCCTCCCGGCACCTTGCGGTCTGGGCAGCCGTCCTGAATGCCCCCTCTGGGCTCAGTCTTTCATGACTGTGGACCCAGATCTAGAACCCCCTGCCACTATCAGTCCTGTGGACCTCCTTTCCACAGTCAGACGCTGTGCCTGTCCCAAGGGACATGGCTCAGTGCTGTGCAGTTTCCCTCTGACCCTCTGGGCTCGGAGGTCTTGTAGTTCTCCCCAGCCCAGATCCCTGATTTTACCATTCTCCAGGTGTCCTCTGCCCTTCCTGGCTGCGAATTGTCTCACCAGCTGTGTCTACTTCGCCAATTCGGGGTGGATGTTATTCAATTTAGTTGCTCATTCTATCTGCTCTGGGAAAAGGCTCAGGACAAGTCCGTCTATTCTGCCATTTTGTCTCTCCCTAAATTTATTTTTAAAAGTTCCAATTAACTAGAGACAGAAAAACAACTGAAGGTATGCAGACCCCCCAGAAAGGAACAATACCACTCTCTGCAACAACTCCCTTAAGTAACTGCAGAAAGTGCTAGGTCATTTCACTTATTCATAGCTAAGTGATGTAGCACCAGGTTCCCTGTGATTAATGGTGATGGTTGGTGGTTGCAATTCTTATTGCCGTGAGGCATCTGTAGTGGGAGACATAGTGCAGCAAATGTTTCCTGCATTTACCTTCATCCATTTTTCTCTTGTGAGACAGGCTATTTTAGGGGCTTCTTATGCTTTAATCATAAACTGATTGGCTTAAATATAGATTAAACATTTTTTGTTGGGATGCACAAATGTATTACCATAGTAATATGAGCAACTTAGACTTTCAAAAGTCTATTTATGACTTTTTAAGTACAAAAAAAAAAACAATTTGTAAGGTTACCGTCAAGTAAAAAAACAACAATTATTTTATTGTCTTCACTTTTACACTGGTACCTGATAGATAATTTTCTTCTACATGCATAGCCTTAAGGATTCATCAGTCATCAAACCCTATTTAGTTTCTGTCCAACCCAAATTTTAAAAAAAGGAATACAAATATAGATTCTTCTCCATAATAATAAAAATGTCTTACATTTACACAGTGCTTGCTACTCTTCAAAGTGCTTTCACATCTATTACCTATAGCCTGGAGATTCCATTTCAGGCTGTACCAATTTGTCATTAGTAGAGATAATAAAAGCAAAATATGAGAGTGTAACCATTCTCTTATTAAGGAATATCCAGCTGTGGTACTGCATCCGGAGACCTGCCAGAGGCAAAGGCTAAATAATGGGAGCTGCAGGCATCTGAGTTTCTCACCCACACTTTGTGTTAGAAAACATCTTCTAGCCAAGGAACTCAAAACTCTTTAACTATGGAATGGCTCTTAGAGGCCTTCATCAGCTGAACAAAACTGTGCCAGTCAGGCTCAGTGCCCACAGAGTTCAGGAAGGTAGTCCAGGACCAGTGCCTGGCAGCAGCCGAACAGTCAAAACACCAAAGGCAGCCTTCCTGGTCTTGTGCCCAGCAATTCTTCAAGTGTGACCCGGTGCAGCTGTATCATGGTCAGCTGGGAACTAGCTAGAAAGGCCATTCTCAGGCTCCACCCCACACTTACTTAATCATAGAAGTCATGAGCTTGAAGTTTTAGCCTTCTGAGGACTTTAGCCTTTAGAGGGGTCAAAGCTTAAACTGAAATGAGAATTCACAAAATCAGCCAATGTGTGGGATATGCCAGTGGGCAATAGGGCAATAAAGCCTTACTAGAGCCTTTGTGTTGGAAGCTGCCTATTGTCTTCATTAGCAGAGTGGTGTGGACAAGGAGCCCAGAATGCTGGTGAACCTTGAGCCCTGGCAAAGGTCAGAGCTCTGCACCAACTGTTTAATAATGGTAGCTGAAGCAACTTCCCAACCAGATAGTTAGGTAAATCCTTAGTCTGTCTGTTACTGGAATTGCCTGCCTAAGGGCTATGGGTGTATCCCAAACTGAATAAAAGGATGGCAAGGCCTGAGCACAAGTGGAGTCCTTCCTCTTGCGTGAGGCTCCCGCCTGGCCCCCCAATTTCCAAATTATTATTTCTTGCCTTGTCTCTGTCATTTGCGCGCGGCCCTTCTCCAGAGCCTGAACCCTGAACCACGCGGGACGTGGGTTATCACATCTTTGCAACTCAACTATATTACTCGACTCATGGCCATTCCTAGCCATCATGGCACCTTTGTGCTAATTAGGAAAGGGTGCTTTCCCTCAAGTAAAAATAAAAAATAGTTATTTTTACAGCCTGTGGCAGCCCTGTGATGTTGGGCAGCAGCCACAATGGTAAACATACATGGATATACCACACTCTCATTTACTCATACATCTTCCAAACACCAGGAAATACTTTCCACTAGTGGCAGGAATACTTTGTATACCACCAAGCCCTGACTGCCAGGTGAGGCCTCTTTGTCAGATTTGGAGTCAGGCTGTAGAGGTGGGGTTGAGAAGCTAAAATTGTATCTCCAAGAATATTAGGCAGGAGAAAGGAGTAACCTCAAGAAACTCCTGGGGTATAGTCAAGATAGCACATAGCCAAGTACACATATGTTTACCAGTGACTATGTATGTGCATGGCCTGGTGTGCTAGTATAAATGTAGATATGAGGAGGTGCCCCTGACACCTCATTCCAAAACTAGGCTAGAAGGCCAGAATCTCTGCCCACACCTGCACCCCTCTCATAGAAGTTAGTATATTTCTACAACATAAATAGTACCATCTGAGATATGGTGCCCTTGTGTAAGGCACAACCTGAACATCAATATTGATAGCCCTGACTCTGCCTATACCCAGTACCAGATACCTGCTTCCTGAAGTCAATCCTATTATAGACATGGTTTAGCCTTCACTCTGGCTTATTAGCTTTTACAGGTAGGTAAGCAGAGCTGTTTTTTCTCCTGCCAATTCATTAAATTTGAGAGCTGGAAAGGGTCTTAGG